GGGTGTTGATGTGTAGGAGGACATGTGCTTCCAGTCTCAACTTTGCTTTTAACATTTATATTTATAAGATAGCATGCAGAGGAAGGAGCACCTGCACCATATTCTGTCCCCCCCACCCTTTCCTGCAGTCTTTTCTTCACTATCCATGTTATAGAAACCGCTGTTGCAAACCAGCTGCACAATCACTTGTCCTGTAAACCAGGGTGCCTGCCGTCTCCCACCCTCAAACCATTTTTTCCTCTCTCTCCATCTTCTCTTCCTAGCATCAAGCTCTTTATGTCCCAGCACCACTGTGCCTGTTAGAGCAGCTGACTTCTTTCCTTTTCCTTCTCCCCAAGTGTACCTGCAGGAGGCCTGTAATGCCCCTGCAGCAGCTTTGGGCTGCTGGAGAAGACAGCACTGGGACTTTCTCCCTCTCAGTCCTGGCAGTGCCACAAGCAGTCCTTGGTGCTGCTGTGTCATTGCTGCATTCCCAGATTGTGGCTGAGACATAAGGTGGGAGGCAAAGAAGAGCCATCCTCTTCTCCCTCAACCACAGCCCACCTGTGGCTGCTGTCTGCTCTTTGCTTTCACATTGAGAAAATCAAGGTTTACATCCAATATCAGGATATCTGAGTCACATCCAGGAGTTCATTTGTTTGCTTTTTGCCTCTGGGGACTGAATGATTGCTTCTGAGTGGCTCTGACTATGCTGAAGGACTGGGACATAGCTAGTTTGTGGTCTACCCACCTGCAACTATTTCAGATATTTCACACTCTTCTGCTTTCACTTCCCAGGAGTTTGCCAGTTACAAATAGCAGATGGGTAACAGGGAATCAGAGCACAAATTTACATTTTCAGACTTGTACTTAAAGGGTTGGGGGGAATTACATAGCATTTTCTAGATGGGAAGTAGCATTATCAAGCCAAGAATAAAGATTTTGTAACAAGAAAAGACAAAAATGCCATTCACTCTTCCTCACCTGCCTCCTTAATCTGCTTTCAGGTTATTAACATAATCAATGCTGCCCAGGAAAACAGCCCCATCACAGTAGCAGAGGCCTTGGACAGAGTTCTGGAAATCCTGCGGACGACTGAACTTTATTCCCCTCAGCTAGGTACCAAAGATGAAGATCCTCACACAAGTGATCTTGTTGGAGGTCTGATGACTGTGAGTAAAATTAGCAAAGATGAAATTACTGCTACCAGTGTCCTACATCACAGCTCAGCACTCTGTTATGCTAAAATTTCACAAGCAATGGGAAGGGGACTCATAATTCATCACCATTTCATTGAAGTATTTTGGCTTCTCTACTAACAGTAGGCACCAAGATGTAGTAAGATATGGCCACGTCTCAGTCTACCGGGTGCATTCATCCTCATACATAAGTGAACATGGTTGCCACTAGAAACTGTATCATCCAATCTGATTTCTCTCAAGGAGATACTTTTTAGAAACCCTAGAAGCTTAGATGGGATTAGAGAGATTGCTCTACAGCTGGTCCAGTGTAAGAGTGGGGTTACTTTAATCAGGTTCTGACTTTGGTCCTGTAACAGCAGCAACACTGTCTGCCACAGACAGACCGTCTAGATTTCATCATGGTTTACCTCATTCTTTAATGTACACTGAGCTAATCCTTGTCAAAATAATATAAAGAAAATGCAAAATACATGATAGTGGTTAATTTGAATGATGAAAACCTGCAGGTGCCAATGAAAGGGTCAAGGAGGGCAATACACTGTAGAGTTAATAATATCCTTTCTGGATCTCATACTATAGTGTTCCTTGGATCCTTTCATGTCTGTTTTGAAAGACCTTAAAACAGGTCTTTTTGGTGGTTTTGTTGGTTCTTGTAGGAGCAGTGCTTTTAGTACCCAGGAATAGTACCTAAAGAGAAAGTGCATGTAGTGTTTTTGCAATTAATGATGCATGGATACTCTGCCTAAAACTTATGATAAACTTGCTTTTTCAGGATGGTTTGAGAAGACTGTCAGGAAATGAGTATGTGTTTTCTAAGAGTAAGCCACCATTTACAACTTCCCTTTGCACATGTGACTTCTTTTGTAGATGCTAGTGACATAGAGCTCCAAGCTAATTTGCAGTGGGATGTATGTCTTTGGAAATGGTTGTCTAAGTGACTGCAGAACAAGTGCTAGACTGCCTCCACTTTGGACTTGAAGCAGGTTCAAATAATTAAAATAATACATTTCAAAATGTAGAAAATCAGACTAGGAAAAAAACTAAATTGTCACTCAAAGAAATGTTCACTGATCTTTTTGGTTTATGTACAAATCGTCTGTAATAATATAAACCGTATGTGTTATAGGCTTTTACAGACTTTCTCATGTAAGGAAAAGAGTTGTTTTTCTTGAAAAAGAGTTGTTTTCTAAATGGAATTCTGCATGTGGGGGGAAAAAAAAATCCAGAAATGTTGTAATACCCGAATTCCATTTCAACAGATATGAACCTGAGCCATAGTCACCTTTCAGTGCCAAACACCATCAATGATGTTCCACCCTGTATCGCACAGCTCCTGGATAATGAGGAAAGCTGGGACTTCAATATTTTTGAGTTGGAGGCTGTTACAAATAAAAGGTGGGACTCCTTTCCCTGGGCACCCACAAAAAGGTTGTTTGGGAGCTGTAGCAGAAAGCGCTTTGCTCTGGAAAAACTGAAGCAAGACACAGTGAATCTGTGAGAGCTGTCTTTCTTTTTTTGTGTGTGTGTGTGTGCGTGTTGATACCACTTGTCCCATTTAACAAGCCAGGCACACACCAAGGTCAAGATGCATGCACAGGCCGTGGAGAGCCCTGTGCAGGCTGTTGTCTTCCCTGACAGCGCCTGCAGCCCTCCAGGATCATTTCCCGTTCAACTTTTACCTTGCTTGAATCCCATCCATTCTGTCCAGGTGACACTGTTTGGCACAGTATGATGTTGTTATATGCTGGATGTCCCACAGATGCCCTTTTTTCCTGCTGGTGCATAAATGGTCATGCTGGAATAAGCAAACCTCTCCCCTCCCTCACCTAAATCACCCTATGGTTTAGGAAGCTCTGAGGCAACTGTGGCTTCTGATTATAGGGATAAAAAACTGGGATGGAGGATAAACCAGTGACAGGATCAAGGCCCTGAGATTCTAAAGCTTATAATGAAAGAAGATGCCAGTAGTTTTGAGGTCATGCAGACCACAAAATAAACATGTCATCCACAGAGAAAAGTGATTTTCATTCCATGATGCAAAGAATTGGAGAGACTACCAGGTCTTTTGTACTGTGTTTGAAGAAAATGGCCATTTTTGGAATTTGCATTTGCCTGGTTTTAATTTGCAGATGTTGGCTTTTGGTCATGCCGTTCACAGCTCAGGAGCTCTGTAGATCATCTTACAAGAGTGAAAAATGTGACTGATAGATAGGACCCTGTCACAGGCAACACAGAGTAAATGACAACCCAGAGTGGATTTGGATTTAAGAACCAACAAGATTAGAGATTTTATCCTACTTACTGTTTCACACACAGGCTCATCACTGTCCTCCCCAGCATTACATTCACCAGACCTCAAATTCCCTCTCCAGCCAGGAGATCACTGCTGGTAGGATTCAGGACATGCCACTTCTGTTTAGTCCAGCCCATACCACTTGAAGCAAGAAAGTAGCAGGCTTCTGCTTGAGAGTTCAAAATTTCAGTATCTTAAACATTAACTCCCTCTAAACACACACATACACAGAGTTATCCACTGCCTGTTAGCATTTGGAATTCAAGGTGCAGGGAGGGGTTTACCGATGGCAGACTCCTGCCTCAGCTCTAGAAAGTGATCCAGTCCTCCTAAAGCTAGAAGAGTTCACATGACATAGTAACCTGATGCTAAAAGCTGCTCTGAGAAGCATCAATATACTTTGCATATTGTCAACTTCAGATAGCCAGGAAGTAGAAATCTGGACCCCTTGAAGTCACAGGATTATTTGAAACAGTAAACATTCAATGTTTTTCGTCTTAGGGCTTTTTAGCCTTTGGGATGTGCCACGTCATGTTCAAAGTCTGCTTTTCCTCCTCAGAAAAAAAAAATTATTTTTGATTGATTGACAGATACTAAAAACACAAAAGACCTGAGCTTTTAAGAATTTTTTCTGCAGCCACAAGAATTGGTGAAACTCTAGTGGAACCGCGCCATTTCTATGAAATATATTAAAGTAATGTCTGAAAGGATGGTAGATGTAATAATTTGTAACCTTGGCCAGACTTTTGAGAGGTTATAGATGTGCAATTTAAGAATGTTTAACATTTCTCCCCCACCTTTTATTTTTAAGGTCTTGTTGGTTTCTTTGTCAAAACCATCACTCTGTAGAATGTCAGAAGTTCCTATTTTACAAGCGATGCTTTTTTCTTCTATTGTTTTTCAGACCGTTAGTGTATTTGGGCTTAAAAGTTTTTGCCCGGTTTGGGGTCTCTGAGTTTTTAAACTGTTCGGAAGCAATGCTGCGAGCGTGGCTGCAGGTGATTGAAGCCAACTACCACTCCTCCAACTCATACCACAACTCCACACACGCAGCAGATGTCCTGCATGCTACAGCCTTCTTTCTTGGGAAGGAGAGAGTTAAGGTATAACCATCACCTAGGAGTCCTTTGGGCTAGGATTTTGGTGTGTTTACTATTTTATGTGTGTCATTCAAAAGTCAGATGTTTACTTAAATAATGGTCCTGGCTTCATAAAGTCACTCTGCCCTTGAAGCCTTTTCCTGTGATGCCTCCAGGCCCATGCAGTTTCTTCTAAAGTCTGTTTATATGAGTGAGGAATTTACATTTTTTTAGCAGCAACAATAGGGGGGGGAAATCTGGCTCTTTTCTATCTCTTGGTAGCTGCCTGTTAGTAACCACTCTTAATAAAGCTTTGCAAAAGCTTTGGAGAGGGAGGTGCTGAGCTCTTCTCCCTGGTATCCAGTGACAGGATGCGTGGGAATGGTTCAAAGCTGCACCAGGGGAGGTTTAGAGTGGACATGGGGAAGCATTTCTTTACTGAGAGGGTGTTCAAACACTGCAACAGGCTTCCTACAGAGGTGGTCGACGCCCCAAGCCTGTCAGTGTTTAAGAGGCATTTGGACAATGCCCTTGATAACATGCTTTAACTCTTGCTCAGCCCTGAAGTGGTCAGGCAGTTGGACTAGATGATTGTTGTAGGTCCCTTCCAACTGAGATATCCTAGCCTAGCCTAGCCTAGCCTAGCCTAAAACACACAAGCTGTGTAGGAGCAGAGTTGGTACAGAGGCATTCAAGCAAGCACACAAAGTGGAAGGTCACCACTAGAGGGTCCATCCACCATTAGAGAATTTAATGCAAAGATATTGCTTAGGTGACAGCACAGTAAAAAGCTTCATTAAGGAAAGAGGGTTTGGGTAAGGGTGGGAGGTGGGGTTTTGGAGTAGGTAACCTGTGAGTGCACTGGGCAGAGAACAATTGCAAGGAAGTAAAATCCCTGCACTCAAGCTTACACTTGCCTATTTGTGGGTATCTGGAAATGATCAGAAAATATTTACTGTAATTTTTATGCCACATCACAATTTTTCTCTCTTCCTGTAGGGAAGCCTTGACCATTTAGATGAGGTGGCTGCATTAATAGCTGCCACCATTCATGACGTAGACCACCCTGGACGAACCAACTCTTTCCTGTGCAATGCAGGCAGTGAATTAGCTGTCCTTTACAATGATACGGCTGTATTAGAGAGTCATCACACAGCACTGGCGTTTCAGCTTACAGCTAAAGACAGCAAATGCAACATTTTCAAGAATATTGATAGGTGGGTCAGCTGGAGAAGGGGAGTATGCGCATGTGGATTGCTTGTTCAGGGATTTTAGTTTGGTGTAGATCCTACCTTCTAAACCAGAAAATATAATTTTAATAGAGACTAATATTTAACCTCTTCCAGAATCCTATGCAGACCTGATTTTTAAAAAGGCTTTAATTTTCCCCCTGTGACCTCCAATTTGTATTTTTTGGAAGCATATAGAGATGTTTGATAATCTTTTATGGATTACATTGGCATGGTCTAGTTGGCAGCCTCAAGGCTGCATCCCGACCCACTGCCTTTTCATTGCAGGAGCCTGGAAATTACTTTTTTGGGCCATGCATTTCCACCCAAGCAGCCAGACGCTGCATGCTGTGTCTGCACACGGTCCCATGCTTGCTGGCACTGCTGCATTCACATGGGATGGAAAGGGGTGGTAACGGAGGGAGCTGAAGCTCTGGAAGGGTTGGAGGCACCCTGCTGCTGGGCAGGCACATAGCCTGGGAGCTCCCTTTGCATCAGCCTAGCTTTTGCAGGGACAGGATGGAAGAGAAAGGGATCTGAAAGGAAAAGAGCCTGACCCAAAACAGGTAATGAATTTGTCTACTCCCCCAGAACACTGTTGGTTTTTGAAAAACCTGAGATTTGTGTTCCAAGCTAACATACAGTGAGATGCAAATGAGTTGGTGCCTTTCTTGGAGAAGGTTACGTAGTGTTACAGCATTATGTAATTGAATTGTAAATTTTTATTGACTTCAGGGAATTGGTTTTCATTAGGTAAAAGTAACAGAAAAAGGCAATACAGGAATTCAGAGCCAGAGGAACCCAGAGAGGCATGATCTAGTCCATTCCTCCAACCCTAGACCATTCATAACTCTGAAGGTGCCGGCTCATGTGGATGAGCCCCCGAGCAGTGTTTTGCAGCGCTGCCTGGGCAGGGGCGAGGAAAGGACGGAGCTCTGTCTGGCAGGCTTGTGAGCAGGAACTACTTTTCTTTCCTAGAAATCACTACCGGACGCTGCGCCAGGCCATTATTGATATGGTTTTGGCAACGGAAATGACAAAGCACTTTGAGCACGTGAACAAATTTGTGAACAGCATCAACAAGCCAATGGCATCTGAGGAGACCAGCTCACACGTAAGTGCTTGCAGGACTTTACGCCTTCAGCCATTTCAGTGAAGTTCTTCCAAGATACCTCCAAGTATCACTTTCATTCACTTTGTATTAATTTGCACTGTGGTAATGCCCAAAACACACAATTGGATTTGTGACCTCACACCTCAAAGTGTGAAAAAATACTTTTATTTTCTTGTTTTCTATGCCTGGCTCTGCCCTTAGCTCATTTAAACCCTTCATTTTATAAGCCTTGGTTTCAAAGCCATCTGGTGTTCACAAAGCATGTGGGTGGGTGCTTTTGTACATGCAAAATTCTGTGCATGGAGCTAGGTCGGCACTTGTGCCTACAGTCCTGCCTCCAAACGGAGGGATTTGCCTAAGCCTGGGATTGTAACTGAGGAACCTGCCCTGATGGTTTTGTGTCTATGTAATCTGGAGCCTTCAAGCCATCAGGAATAATTCCGTTGCTTCCTGAGACCTCTCCACCCCATCCCGATTCCTGATTGTACCAAGAGATGTCCGGGCCTTTATTCCTATCAGTTATACACCCTAATGCTCCATCACTAGCCAGGGTATATTTCATAAGATGCTTTCGAGTTTCCCAGCCCAGGCCCCTCTTTACCTTCTCTTGTTGCCTTTCGAGGTTGAGTACTCAGTGACTGACAGGTTCTCCAGGGCAGTGTTACTCACCCAAGCAAAGACCATCTTATCATAGCTTAGTGAAAATAGTGCTTTGTTAGTAACACTGAAAAAAAAAAAATCAGACCAAATTGAAGGTCAGTGATATTAAAAATAAATAAAAGTAGCTTCTGTCAGTTCTCCATAACTGGACTTTTTTGCACTATAGGCTGTCATGGGTGCAGAAACCAGTCAGGACCAGTGGGATTTACGACTTTAGGGACAGCATTACGTCAGTTGAACTGACCTGCTTCTAAGGACTGCTGAGCCCCGTTCTCCCAACAGTTTGAGCTGGATATCACAAATGCTGCCGAACTTCACTGGCTCTGCAGACACCTTGCACTGTACTCCCCAGCACTTCCAAGCTCTGGAGGACTCACTGGATGTGGCACTAGATCTGAATTAGCGTGATCCTCTTCAGTGCCAGAAGGCTCACAGCACAGGGTTTGTGCACTACTGGGGGCCCCTATCGCTGTTTCTGCGCTGCGCTCCCAGCACATCGCCTGGTGCTGTGTTTCATGGGTTTGCCCTCGTGGCACGGGCTAAGCCAGAACAGTGGGGATCACACTTTAGATCTCAGCCCAGAAGAAAGGAAGATCCACACTGGTGGGTGGCGTGGAATTACCCGCTCTCACATTTCTCTGTACTTACATGTGGACCAGATAGCAGCTTGCTCCACCAATTTCTAAAAAAGCCCTCTGAGGTGTCACTGGGAAATGTGGCTTCTCACAGTGCTTCATTTCTCCCTCTGACAGCTTGAGCATTTTTCTGAAATGTTTCTTCCATCTCCATCCTTTTAAAATCTCTTCAGTTTTCTGGCATCCCCACATTGGCCTGTAGGATTTAGATTTACAAGCCTCACTGAAATCATGGTGTTTCCAAGCTCTGAACAGATTTCTGGGAATCTCCCTTTTATCCCATTAATGCATTTGTTCTAGCACTTCCTAAACAGCTTTTAAATGCTCTCCATTCGTTCTGTTGCAATCAGCTTTTCTATCCTATAGAGAACATTTTCTTTTACAGAGAACATTTTCTTTGACTCACTCTCCTTTATCTTACTGGTTTATTTAAAATGAACAAGAGTTGGAGGGCAATAAAAGTGGAGCACAGAACCACTTGTATTACAGACCTGTTTTTTTCCCCAGTATTAGGTTGTTCTGTTCCTTATTGTTAACGGTGGCTCCTCCTGTTTTTGATCTTGAACGGCAGTTAAGGAGCAGGGTTAATTTGGCAGCTCTTTGCTGGGCTACCCATGCTGAAAAAAAATTAACTGCTAAAGTCAGAAGATTAATGCCTAAATTGGCAAGTCACTGCAAAATATCTCCCCATAAACCACAACAACATTAATTTAGCTGTGGTGGTAAAAACTATTTATGTTCAGTTTTCGACTCAAGAGTTGAATTTAGCAGTGAAGGGAGGCCATAATTACACAAATACATTATTTTGAAAATAGTATTAATGCCATGGTGAGCTGAGGCAGAGGCTTTTTATTACTCATTAAGGAACATAATACACCTGTGCCCTTCTAAACTGTTCAAGACCCAGAAGATGATGCCACAGCAGAGTTGTAACAACTACTCTGTCCCCTCCGTCCGCTCTCTAGAGCAGTCAATAAGCAGTTCAGTATTTTACTGCCTAGCCAGCAGAGACTTTCTGCAGTCAGTCTGCTGCTCCTGCATTTTCCTACTGTTAATCTCATAGATATCTGAGACTTCATCCTAGCTGGTAACCAAGACCAAAAAGTATTCCAGGCCAAGGGTTCAAAATCCGGTACCAAGAAGGCAGTTTTATTGCCAAACATACGGGAGCTGAATGGCGCAGACCTGCTTCTCTGCCTGTAAAAGAAGCAGTCAGTTGTGCAAGTTGGTTCATCCCCCTGTGCCTGCCTCAGTTTTCTCATTTAGGAATGAAAACCAAACTCTAGAAACTCACCTAAATGAAGCAGCCCCCTACCATCACCACCCCCAAATTCAGACACTCAGCAGTGAGGATGGTTTATCAGCTTGCAGTTGGTGGATGCGTCCCCTATCCTGCTCCTGTTCCAAGAGGGCAAGGCTGGGATGCAGAGAAGGGTAACTCGCCCTAGCTGATAAAGAGCCCATGGCTCCTTTATTTCACAAACTTTGCTATTAATTCTGACAATCTCCACAACTGTCATATGTAATGGGGCTATCATTAGTTACTTAGCAAGGCTGCAGTTCTCAGACATCACTTTCTCCTCGAAATTCCTGGTGCTCTGCATGAAATTAGAAGGCATCAGGCTGGGTGCCCCCTTACTGCCCAAGTGCAAAAAAGCTGGTAAGGATGCCCTTGCTCCTGCTAGCAGGGATGCTGGCCATCGGCCCTTGTAACCAACTCTCTTTTACAGAGCGAAGGCAGCGACTGTGAATGTACAGCCAATATAAAGAATTTTCCAGATAACCAAACACTGATCAAGCGCATGATGATTAAATGTGCGGATGTAGCAAATCCATGTCGCCCCCTAGAGCTATGTATTGAATGGGCAGGGAGGATTTCAGAGGAGTACTTCGCACAGGTATGTGTATTTTTATAATTTGACTATTATGGTATGTAAGAAAGTGCATGTCGGCTGGTCTGCTGTTCCACACAGGGTCTGCCTGGCATCACCACGGAGTCCAGACGTATGCTTTTTGTCCCCAGTCAGAACCGGCCCCTCACTATCATGCAGAAGAATTCACCTCAGTCAAAGTTAGTTAGTTTGCTTACCATGAAGCTTGCAATACATAACGGTGGAAAGGAGGTTTTACACTTTCAACTTTCTCCATCAGGCCAAAACAAAATTATTTGATTAACCTTAGTCAATTTAATTGGCTGAAATTCAAGACTGTCACCATTCTAGGTTCTAGCCCCAAAACCTTCCCCAAAGAGAGCATGAAGATCCATGACTGACGAAGCCCTCAACTGAATCATCAACTGGCCCTTTTAAGATGGCACCTGAACTATTGTCACATTAGGCAGATGATGTGGCAGGCCAGTACTGCAGGCACGTGGGCACTGTAAACGCTTATCACATGGGATCTCTCTTTCTTAATATTCGGTTTTTCCAACACAAATGCACCAGCTTCCTGAAAGTGAAGCACTCTTCTAGTTCTTTATTTGAACAACTGACAGATTCTCAGCTTTCATTTGCCACTAATGGTGTGGAAATCAGCAGCTACGACTGGAGAGACAGACAAGCAGGCATGCCTACCATCCAAATTCACATCATACATGTGATAGTTATTATTGAAAGAATAGCTAGCGCCCGGGACATGTCTGAATTTCTTTTTAATCATAGTGAATAAATTTGATCACTTCCTAGGAAAGATCAAGGATCATTTAGGTTGTATCTCCCTAGCAGTCAAGGTATCATGAGCTAGCTTTAAATTGTCAATCTTAGGTACCAGCCTACCTGCAGCAATGTGAGGTGCTGAGAACCGTTCTGCTCTTCATTCACCTCATCTGGTAATTTTGGGGACCACTGTGCTGCCAATTCCAGCATTAGGTGCTGCCTATGCCACTTAAAATGTTTTCCTGTAATTAAATTCTAAGACTATTGAGGTGATTGGCTCCTCCACCATACTGAGCACAACAAAACCAGCCCTCTTCCAGTTGTGGACGCAGAGCTAAAGGCCATACCCTTACTTCTATTCAATTTATAACCCAATACAAGCAGAGAAAATAGCAACAGCAACAACCCTCTTATTTAAAAGACAAGTGGTTCGAAACAGCCACTAGAGATGTGGAAAAAGGAGAGATCAAACCTGTCCTCTGCTAAAGGACTCTGCAACCCCATTTTCCATTTTTAGCTGGTGTGCCCTAATCACCAGATTAGAGCGTTCTGTCTCACCGGAGCTAAGAGCGATCACAGCACTACAGTAATAGAGTACTTGTGAAAGGGAAGAGATGGCGATTTCAGCCCCTGTTCCAGATGAAATAAAGCACATGAAACCAAGACAGTTCACCTCAGGGGTTCTAAGGTTTGTCACAAATCTCCTACTGCAATTCATCTAATCCCCTGGCCTTTGCTACTCCAGCATGAAAGCCAGCAAAACTCTAGGGGCTAACTGCAGTTTTGTTTCCTTAGACTGATGAAGAGAAGAGACAGGGTCTGCCTGTTGTAATGCCAGTATTCGATAGAAACACCTGCAGCATCCCCAAGTCTCAGATTTCCTTCATTGATTATTTTATAACAGATATGTTCGATGCGTGGGATGGTAAGTACTTCTGCTTTTTTCTTCCTTGCTCTGAGGCAGAGATTTCTACAGACTAAAATGAATAGTCTTAAGCTGGCCTTGAGTCCATTTTTTTCAGGGACAGTACCTGCACATAAGCAGTACAGCATGGGATCTAAACAGCAATGCTGCTGAAGCCCATTTCACTGCAAACACCACCAGCTTTGTGAAAGTCGAGCACTTACTAGACAATCTATATAAAGAAGTAAGGAGTAATGGCTTAAAACTAAGCTTTTTTTCATCTAGGTCTTTTTTTCCTTTAGCAATGTATTTCTTCTGAGCAGCAGAAACTGAGACCACAGTGGTTGTGTGTTAGCATAATTTAATAAAGTTGTCATACATTAAGAAAGGGATTCACTTGAAAGAGAAACAGACTGGAAAAAAAAATCTTTCCCCTTTCAGCATTAGCTTACAGCTGAAGGAACAAAAGAGAGTAGGAGAATGCCAGTTTCAGGTGAGGTTGGGCTGTTCTTCCGCCCCTTCTGCATACATAGTACAACAGTTCCTCCTGTTCATTTCAGCATTTGCGCATCTGCCTGTTTTGATGCAACACTTGGCTAATAACTACAAACACTGGAAAACACTGGATGAGTTAAAGTGCAAGGGTCTCCGGCTTCCATCGGAAAACAACAACTGACACTAAGGCGAGAAAAACAGACCTCTTGATCTACCAGTTTCACTGTGAATCACTTCCTAACTTGGCTGCAAGAGGGATGGTGTTTGCCTTCCAGTGAAATTAAGACTGCGTGGCAAGAAGGAAAGATTTTATTCATCACTTTTAAGCTTTTCTGAATCCTACAGAAAAGTGTTTTCAAAAAGGCTACGTAATACACAGATGAGTAAGTGCTCTTTGGAAATAACACTTTGTGGCAGAAAATGTACTTCTGAAACTAATTTCTAATACTGAATATGCATTTGTCAAATCTTGCAATCGATACAATTGTATTCTCTAACACTGCACACAACTGTTTCTCAGTCTGAGGGGTAATCTAGTCACCAGTAGAGTTAAGAATAGGTTGACAAATAAGCATAAAAACTTCCCACTTACCCAGCATAAATTTGCTCCAATTCTATCGCTGCTCTTCAGCTCTCTGAACCATAGTTCTAAAGAGAACACGCACAGTAGAACAAGTAAACCTCCATAAATTGGATCCAGTAAAAAGCAAACCCCGCACCATTTAAAGCAACCTTCTTATTATTACAGAGACTCTCTCCCAGAGCACCAGCTGTTGTCTCTTCTTTCTTTTGCATACAAAATCTTGGTAGGAGTCAAATTCCCTTAGAATTGGTCATTTTGCAGGAAAGCAAGCACGGTCTGTAGAATTGGTGCCATCCACACGTTTCTCTGCCATCTTAGAGTTGTTACCATGCAATGTTTTGTTGAATTTTACACAAAAACCATTGTGGCACTTGATCAACATCCTTTTTTATAAAGTGGTGTTTGTACACATAGTCATCAATTTTATTAAACTGGTCTAAATTTTATGATAAGTCCATATATTGTGCTACTTACTTCTAGGATGAACCTGTCGCTTTTTAAAAAAAGTTTCCAGGTTATAATTTATAACAGCATTATAATTTGTACTGCTTTTTCACTCCTAATAAAAATGCTGGTTTGTTTTGTGATGTAAAAAGTATTTCAAAAGATGTAAATAAGTTAAAAATCAAACATAGTTTTTCATTAGTTTTAAGATACGAAATTTATGCTAAAGCTTCCAAAGCACAAATGCGTATTTTTGTACATCTCATTTTAATCACGTGCAGATCATGAACATGAGTTCAAATTTTAGACTATTCTCAGACTATTCAGTTAATAAATACTAGCAGAACTGCTGATTTTTAACACTGTGCACGGGGGGCTGCAGCCAAGAGCATCAAAGCTGCGGCTGCAGTTGAAGAAGCAGTCCACTACTCATTAAAAGGAAAGGTCAAGAGACATACTCTTTACCTCCCCTATGCTCTATCAAGACCTGAACCCGGTAGGGGGGGCGGGGGCGGGCAGGAAGAGAGAAAACAGAGTTTAGATTGCTGTGGAAGAACAGTGACAGTGATTGTTGTTTACTGCGGGTAGCTTACATAATGTGCCAACCTTTTTTGTATGTTTTGTACCAAGTTCTGAAACAAAAGGAAACATTCATAAAACATTTGTGCAGAGAAATGTATATAAGCTATATTTTTGTTAGAATTGTAATAGAACCTTACTTTTGTCATAGCTAAGGCAGGTTGCTGTGTATTAAAATGCTGCATTGTGTCTATTTGAAGAATGGCGTTTCTGGTGAAGTATGTTTATTCATTCTTTCTTATTATCTATTGCAACATTCTTCAATGGATTTTTATTCAGATAAGTTGAACTTCTGTTTTTTATACTGTAAACTGTTTGCTTTTACCATTCCTTTATTTAGAACTAGTGGTCTCTGTGGTTGTACCTTAACTATTCTGATAACTCAATGCTCACTGCAGCTTACATTAGAGAAAAGACTTTCACAAGGTTCAAACCTTTATCATCTTAATCTGATTTGTTAAATACAGCAACACTGTAAGATCACATCCATGTAAAACATTTCAATTCATTATTTTTGGTCACACTTCTGGCACAAGGAAGAAAATGTGAATGGCAGAAGGAACATATGAAATAAAGTTCAGCCTCAGTTCTGGTTCACGAGTTAAGGAGTTAATGTGGAATCAGTATAGTTGTTGCAAGATCCTGTGTTTCTTCCCACAGTCAGAGACTAAGCAAAGAAATAATTTGCGTGGAGATACATCACCTTTAAGAGCAAAAGAAATCAGCATAGATTAATTGTCATCTGCCAGTTGTGTCAGATCTTCTAGACTCTAACCTGTCCAGTTGACTAACAGCTGCTTGTTTCACGCTATTGTCAGTGCACAGATACGTAAAACAGCACTCGGAGTTATACAAGTATTAAGGGTAGGTCTGATAAAGATATTTACTTTCCTGATGTGAACATAGGTAATTCTGCATTACTGCAAGGTACAAAAAGAAATTTAAAAGGACACAAGGTGGAAGTAAAATTTCTAATCTGGTCATCCTAATTCTGCTCACTGCACTTCCCAACAGCAAGTGACAAACTCTTTATTTAACAGGAGTGGGCCAGTATAGCCCTACTGTGCTCACTGGTATGCTCAAAGTCCATTTGTAAAACAAAGAACTCAATTCAATACTTTCAACTCAACCATCTTTAAAGGAAGAGACCCTTGGGAGTCTTACCAATGGAGTGTATCTGAGAACAACAGCACTTTTGATAGATATAAGTATTTACACATTCATGTAGGACTATTTAAGGCTGAATTACATCCCTGTAAAATGCACAGTGAGTTTTGTGACTAGAACTGTTCAGTTAAATAGGTCTGTTTCTCTACCAGGTGTTCACTTTAAAGGCAGTCACATAAAAATGAAATAGTTGTTCTCATGGTATACGAAGAAGAGGTAATAAAAAGATGATGTACCTTCTCCCTAGTTATAACTGATGATAGCCATAGCCTCTCCAAAAAAAACTAAGTTTTATAAGCTTTCACTCTAAAGTTTTAGTAACAATGTGTAACCCCACACTTTATATACAACTAAACAGTTATTTCCCAATTGAAACAAGGGAAAAAGAGCCAAAGAGAAATTGATCTCCCCAGCTTGTACCTGGGTAGCCAAAAATGCAACACTTGCTAATGAAGACAAGCTGAAACAATGCAGACTGACAGGCAGAAAGGCTTAACGTGCCTTCCTCCCCCAACTTTAATACCATATACCCAAGGGCATGTTATCATCAGCTGTAATCCAAACACCCTTCCTATGCTGGTCAATAGAATAGCCACCCTGAGCAAAGAACATGCAGCTCAAGATTTAACATTGACTTAGCCTTCCTGAATTGAAAGGAGAGGATAATTTAACAATTTCTCCATCTGGTTTGTGTTTTTCAAATACGTCATTTTGAGCTCTACACTCAAACAAGATTAGTTGTACAAGTTGACTAAAGTGGGGAAAAAAATACAGCTCAAAATTTTACTGTCCCTCTGCCCTGCGTTCCAGGGAAGGTTATGGTCAGACTCAAGAGGCAAAGCTTGGCTTCTGCGTGGTAGGGGGAAGGCAAGTGCCCACAGGGGCTGAGGGAAACAAGTCTAAGAGGTTTCTTGGTTTCTTCTAGGAAGCTGGAGCTTCCTCCTTTTGCTTCTGCTCATCAGTATCTGCTTAGCCCTTTGTTTTGATTGCACTGACTGCAGCTGCTGGATCTTAAGTCTAGAATTAAAGCCCTGTAGTCTCCTGTACTGAAAACAGTTCTCATTGATTCAAAAGGAAGAGATGGCACTGAAAAGTTGCATGAGACTTACTCCTAAACAGTGTTGGGAGTCTGTGCTGGATCTTCTAAGTAGACCTGAAGACAGTGGCACCCTCTTCTACATGGCTTTACAACCACTAAGTCACTAAGTTCCCAAACTGCCCCCTTCCCTAGCTCTTCTCTGTTCAAATGGTAACTTACCACTCATTATCTCATCCTCCCCCCCACTTTCTTTGTATCAGTTCTGGGTTTAACTTTGCTTTTTTTTTTTTTTCTCCTTTTGAGCTTTTGTTGTTTTGGTTTGGGGTTTTTGTTTTAGTTTGGGGTTTCTTCCGAATCCTGTTTAGCTTGCAGATTACTGCTGCTACCTCAGACTTGAGAAAGGCATTGTGTACTTAGAGGCTTTTTATTTTAAAATTCTAAAATACTACTTATCCTTAGAAACTTGGTGCAGGTTTCTCAGCAGTCAAACTGCAGCTGAGAATTTAGTATTCATCTGGCAGAAGAGTTTTGCTAGTATTGAACACATCAACTGCTACAGCTTAAGAAAGTATTTTACATCCTGAAAATCCATGGTAAGGCCAATGCTTTTTATTAGATACAAATAAAATTCATGAATAAAAAAGCTAAACCAACCACACTTCATGTTAGACATGGTAATGACGCAGTACAAACTCCAGTAGCGTAGGTTAACCCACAGTAAAACTGCAGCTACTACAAGTGAGGAGTATCTATATACCTTGCTTTGCCAAAAACTAAAACCTGACGAACCAGTATTGCCTGCTTTTCTTTCTTGCTTCTACCCTTGGTGCAGGACAGTAACTTCAAATGCAAAAATTCTATTTGAGAACTGCTTCTTTTGGGGGTTTTTGTAGATACATAAATCTGAGCCATCAGTGACTAGTGTTTAGCTTCAAGAAATAAGTTACATAAAGCAGCAAGCCTCAGATTTTTTTCTGTGCCTCCTTTCTGCACATAACACTGTGGAATGCCCCCAACTGCTGTAGTTATGATCCATCTAAGGATTTTCACAAATCTCAATTTTGACATCAACCCATGATATTTTTAAACATTAAGAATAATATTAGAAACTATTTAATGAGTCATCATTCAGTCTTTCAAGAGAACACCATTTCTGCTGACAGAATAAGCCAAGTAAGTTTCAACATGCAAAATTCTCTTTTGAGAAGAGTAGTAGCAACTAATCAAAACTCCAATATAATACATGACATTAAGTGTAAAGCTTACTGGTAGTCACATTCCCAGTAGCTCGGACTTTTCTTTACACTCACATTTAACACACATCCAGTTTTTATATATGTAGCCTGTATTAGAGCAATTTAAAATTTGAGCTGCAAATCGCCATTTTGCGCCAATTTTTGAAACAGTGTTAAACTGCGAAGTCTAGATTCTCGTTCACCGTCCTTCCACAAAATAATGAGATGGTCAGCAGAGCACGTAGCCAGTCCCAGTTCACCAAAGTACAGGAACATCTGCAATGAAACAATTACTATTACCATGATGCTCACATGAAATTGTCAGCTTGCTTAAGTGTTCAGTGCACAGCTGGACTAAACAAATACACGTCTGAAATGGTTCCGCTTGAACATAGGTATGCAAAATTACAATGTATACTTTCTATAAGTTTGAGACGTCATAAAATCCCTACATGAAAACAACTCTTAAACAGCACTTCACACCGAAAGATCTCAATTTAGAAAAAGCAGCAAGGCCTTACAGATAGGGAAGCTAAGGTACAGAATATTGAAGAAGTTGTTCCAAGTCAGCAGTAGAAGAGTGAGTGACTTGCATGAACTCTGATCTCCTGGTTTCTTAGGAATAGAAGCCACTGTTCTGTTCACTTGGGTACACTGTCCCCTGCCCACACCACACGCTACCATCACCAGGCTTGGAAGGATCGAAGAGTAAACAACTGTGACAGACATCAGCATGTGCCAGGTCACACAGACGAAGCCAAACCAGCAAGAACTGCGACACAGGAGAAAAGTACAGCTGCAGCGGAGGGATTTTGCAAGAGCAATGGAGCTCACAAGTCATGTAGTCATCCCTGACTTCAGAGACTTCCACAAGGCTGCCTAAAATTAGCCACTAATTGCAGTTCAACACAACAGCCAATGGAACCAGGTCACATGATGCCACTATGGCATGCTTGCAGTGTCCTGACTCTTCAGCCTGTTGAAGGGATCTGCCCAGGGGAAGCATTCAGGCCAAGGACTGTGCTACAGCCTACCTACTCTGGGAACGGCCACTTACTAGCTATGTGGTTCCAGTAGAAATGCTCTGGCCAAGCCCACATCTTTGACCATCACATTTCATCACTACTCAACATTTCCAGCCTCAACTGCTCCAGTCTGCCCAGAGTTTAAAATGGAATTTTCCATATGTAGAACGTTGCAGGAAATCACATCCATCATCATCAAGTTACTCCTTGGCTCCGCAGCATCCCAGCAAAGACCCAACACGTGCCTCTCACCTTCTTTGCTGTGCCTCTTGCTGAATTACACCCTATATCCTCTTTCTTAGATAGCAACTTTCCATACTGATAATAGGGCATCTTTCAACAGTTTTTCAGAAAGAAAGATGGTAGAGAGGGGCAGAAAGCCTTGCAGAAATCCCTGTAGCAGAAAGGTTCACCTTAGCTATTCATGAAAAGCTTTCAGCTTTTGGCAGTAGCAGTTCTGAAATCCAGTCATGAATACTTGTGAGCAAAACTACTGCAGAACCACATGGCTCCTCTCTACCTGCCCTTCCCCCTGCTCCTGCCAAGAATGTGTACAGAAGTCCACTGTAAGAAAGTGATTTGTTACTCCAATAGGTTTGTCAAACTTGAAAAGGTGTGGAGGGAAAATGCCATTTAAAACAAAAACATAATATATTAGACAGACAGAAGCATAGAATAGTACCTGATCTAAAATTAAAAGACCTCCTTAAGGCTCACAGCACAGAAGTCTAAGAAATTCCTGAATGGGCTTTGTTTTATATGAGCCCTTGCTCAGATTGCAAACTTAAGATGAAATCCGGAACAAACACGCAGTTCCCAGATCTATTGTTTGCAGTCTATAAAGAAACACAATACCCCGCCAGATTATCTGTAGCATGTATGTATATATCTGCATACATCTGCATACACAACCTTCAGGCATCAGTGAGTGTTTGAGTTCTCATTACAACTTTAAGTCAATATTTTTTCTGTTTGGGTTTTTTTTTTTTAAACGGCACTAAATATACCACACCACCAATGTGTTCCCAGCCTCCAGAGCCAGACAGTCGAAAGTAACAGTTGTTTAAGAAACAATGCCAAAATTACATTACTAAGCGAAATTCGCTTTTTCTTGTTCTTACTAAAGTTGACCTACCTGCACAGCTGATGAATGACCAATCAAATCACCAACCAGCTCCAAGAAATACATAGGTGTATTGTCCTGCATCTTCTTAGCAGCTTGGTTTGCCTGCTTGTTTGCCCTTCCAAATCCCCACATGTTGAAAAACCCTGGGGGGAAAAAAAAAAAAATCTTTTATTTTGGCAAAAACCAGATACAATTTATTTCCTCTAGCTAAAAAGAGAACTACAGGAATCACTTAAAATCTAAAAGCAGAACAGTCTGCATGGCAAAATGACAGAAGCATTGTACTGCACAGCATTTCTACATCTGGTTTATTCATCTTGAGGGGGGAAAGAAACATAGCTACTTTGTCTTTTGTCCTTACAAGACGTAATTTAGCAAACTTGTTGAATTACTCACCTGGATGAGACAATATATGGATTTAGTAGGAAATCCAAGGACTGCCTAAATGAACTAACTGAACAGCAGAGGTAGATGCAGGACAGTGATGTTTACCTTTGCTCCGTCCTCTTAAACTGCTACTTGTGCAAAGAGGAGAGAAATGAGGTGCCAGCCTCTCGCCTTTGTGTCCTGCGCTAAGGCATTAGAGTACTGGCATACAGGTAACAAGCAAGTTTCTGATGCTGAATTGCCTGTTTTTATACTGCCCACTGGCTTTCTCCTTCAGATTTAAAACCATGAGGCAAACTGGAGTGTAAAGACAGTACTCCACATGTTCCACTTAGATAGCACGAAATTACACATCTGTGCCACAGCCTCCAGAAGAACTGTGTAATAATACTGACAGAAGTAAGAAAGTTGGCTTCTGTACACAATGCAGTTCAGACTTTCTTCCTGACCCTTCCCTCGGCCCCATCAGCACACAAAACAAGAATTGTGCTAGACCATGGCCCTGGTGCAAGTGAGATAACTGGAAAGATGAACAACTACTGAGGGGATTCCTTAGAATAAAAATAGAGCAAATCAACAGCAGTCCACTTATCTTGCTGTTGCATATGGTTTCTTTCAAATGTCTCCAATCATAGAAGTTACAAATGTCCAATGTGAAACCAAATACCACTTGTCACAATAAGAAGCAGAACTGTACAGATCAGCAGTCACCAGCAATACTGAAGACAGAACATTCCTGAAGAAGTTTCTAAATCAATCCAGGCAGCAAAAATTACCATCAACAGGTGAACAGCCAGGTAGACAAAATACATCAAGAAAATCATTCACAGCTCAAATAAAAAAAATTCCTACAAGAGAGTAACAGCTCATTACTGTTCCCAGTCCATAATACTAATTATATTGTCCGGAGCACCTGTCCAAGACCACACCTACCAGTGCCCAGGGAAGCTGCTGGCCTGGTCAAAGAGCAGCAAGCACTACACAGGCAACGTCTGTACTTGGGGAAAATGCTTCCTGAAACACTGGCAACTAACCCTGAGGACTGCGACGCCCAGAGGTAGGATGTAAGTGAGGTTGGATACAGCCTCAAAGTGAGTCCCAGTTTCATTCCAACTTCAAGAAGATGTGGAGAAAATATTTATTTGTGGCAGCTGCTCATCTGCAAGCTTCTCTTTAGCTTTCTTCACAAGGTCCTGCAACTATTTACTCTTGCATGGTAGAGGATCAAGCACTATTCAGTACAAGAAGTGGATCAAGGTTTGTCAGGAGACGTCATAATTTTTGTTAAACCAGCTGATACAACGGTAAACTCTAAATAAGCTTTATGGCACAGAACTGCTTCAGCTGGACCTTCTAACTTCCCATATCAAATCTTGGAGGGCTTGTACACCCTTGTCTTCTTCAGTTTCCCCCCTACACCTGTTATCAGTTGGTTGAATGCAAGACATATCTCTTCTTACAAAGCCTATAAGTGTCTCTGTTCCTATATGGTGAATATTGGGTGTCCCGTTATCCTTTCTAAAAGTGCTTTTCACCCACCCCCCACTACTAGCAAACCTGTTGGAACCGGTTCAGCTGGCAGCTGCTGCTTTTCTCGGAGCTCCCAAATGCGCACACTGCCATCTTCTGAACAGGAGATCAGCTGCCTGTAAAAACAGTTGATAAGCAACACTAGCATGGATACTTAACTGCACAAGTCACCCTGTGATGTTTCTATAAAAGAGACAGCAAGTGCCTCAGGTTCTACACAGGTTTGCTAGAACTCTCAAACGTAGCAGGACACCCAGGTGTTCCACACAAAACAAGGTGCAGTCGTAGCAGGACAAACTATAATGGACTTACAAAATAGGTGGAAAAAAATACACATTTTCAATCCCACTTTAAAAGCATACCAGTCTGTAAAACAAAAAATAACAATTCTAGATTCTGCAAATACAGTTCCACTAACTGGCTTCCGAGCTTACTGTCATTAAGCAAAAACATATTTTTTCTTATGGAATAACAACAAAAGGAAAGATACTCCTTTTCATTACATGTTTAGAAGTGTTCAGAACAGCACATGCATTTACAAGATCAAGGCCCTAATTTTTGTCTTCTGACAGTCTTTTGCTCCATTGAACAAGAGTATAAAGGGATCTAACAACACAACTATTAGATTTTATCTATGTAGCAAATTGTCCAACTTGGCTGTCAAAATAAGTTTCAGCTAGAAATTCAGCAGTAATGAACAAAGGCTGGAAGTTGTTATTTTTTGTTAAAACATTTCAACTGTTACAAAAAATTTAGTGAAAAATATTTACTGAATATGCCATAGGCCTTTGCTTTATACAAGTAAAATGCCATTAAGCTATATTTTCACAGTGTAGACAAAAGTGCTTTATCAAGTCCGATTTTGAAAATACCCAAGATATTTTACTCTGAGCCTGCGCATCAAGCATACTAGATTATAGTTTTTTCACGTTGAATTACAGTGATGCATTTTCAAAAATCAGATCAACAAGCTCTATCTTATAAAAGCCGATCAAACTAAAGATCAAGTCCCTGCCCTAGAAATTAGATGTAGCTTTGCAGACTGTCTCTAGCCACCCTTCCAAGTTCTGCATTTCTTTACTGCATTAACAAAATATACCGTGACTCGTACCTGTTTGGAAGCTTCTCAATGTGCAGTACAGAGGAGTCATGAGCAGTTCTCTGGCAGGCAATCACACGCTTCATTTGAAGATTATATACGTATATGCCTTTCCCAACAGCAGCAAACACACACTGGAAAGAAAATGCAATGGAACAACTTACAGAAACATATACTGAAAGATCACCCTGCATGTAATGGATTTCCAGCAGTACTATGACATCACCTAGCCCGTATTATCTAGCTTGTTTCTGTCCTTGTGTTACTGCTTTATCACAAACATACGGAATCAGCAAGTTATGGAAAAAATAATGATTTTTTTGGAGGAAATGAGAGATATCCTCTTATACACTAAGCAGTTGTTTCATTTCTGTATTTTCATCCTGTACCTTACAGTCTAACCAGAAACTAAGGCTACCAACAAATCAACACATTTCGGCAATTAAACATTTATGTTCTTACACTAAAATAATGCTCTGTGTTTTGACAAACTCTTGTCTTAGCAAGAAAGATTGAGAATACAGGAAGCTGTTTTGTATTTTTGCCATTTTTTTTAAATTTAACTGAAGCTGCATAAAGAGGTCTTGCCTAAGCATTTGGGCTCTACTGAGTGTAGAAAAGGAACTCTCTCACAGAAAGGTATTACACAATACTGCAAAGATCTGGAACCATTTTGCATTCAGTGCTCCTCTTCAGAAAGTGCAGGGATTCCATTTCATAACCATCACAGTCCTAAGAAGCCACAAACAGTTTACAGATCATTGGACCTGGACTCTCTAAAATCATTACAAGTCATGAGAGAGGACAAATGTACAATCATGTGTACATACACACGACAAATACCTGCTACCAGAGGAGTGGAGAATGCTTCCATTCAGTACATATTTGGGTTTTTGAACATACCTTGTTTAGGTGATGGTAGGCTGGATCTTCTCCCTGAATGGCCTGCTTCCATCTACACAGCCCAAACATTAATGTCTCATAAGCAGTTCACACTACACGCTTGTCAACATTTTGTAAAACTGGTAACCCAGCATCTTTGACTCAGATTTCCTATATATATTCAACGGTGTTTTGATATTGTTCAAAACTCTTTGTCCAGGTTTTTGATGGGTTTTGTTTTGGTTTTTCTTATGCACATCTGCAGTGGGAGCTCCAATAGCTCTGAAACTAAGCTCAGATTTCTGATAGCACTCTACCAAATCAAGGAAAAAACACTGAGCCCAATTCAACGGCCCTTCCACGTCACTCTTCCACTCCTGTATCTCAACCTTTTCTCCCCTGCAGTCTTCCACCTTGAGACAGGCTCTTGAGTTTCATATAGTCTTATAGCTTTGCAAAAGATGGTCTTCACAGATCACACTTTTTTTTTTTTTTGCACAAGCCCTGGCAAAACCCTGGTCATCTCAAACCCCAAGAAAGTAACAAATGATGAAGCATAAATTCTACACCTATCTTAACAGGCAAGTTTAAAAACACACACACACACACACACACGTGCCAGGACAGCACATGCACTCCTTAGCACTGTTTCCTAGTATTGCCGCACCTTTACCATCCCATTTGTTTCTGAATGATGTTTTGCCTACAAGCTCAGTGTCAAACTAGACAAGTACATCTTCTCCAACGACCTAACTACCAAGCCTGCTGACAAAGTTCCTAACAGAGAAAACGCCAATTTTATTTTATTTTTTGTAACATGAAGAACAGTGTTCTGCTTTTGGATAGCAGGTAACAAAGTAATTCATTATAGGAATACATTTCTTCTACCGCTTTCTAAGTAGTAACTTTACAATACAGACAGCTCTGCCCTAAAACCACCTGCTATTTCAGGATGTAACACTAGAACCACCTTTTCTTCCCACCATTCAAAAGTCTCTCAATAAATAAAATTCTGCAGCAATTTGTTTAGTTCAGTTCCATGAATGGAAGAAAGTCCTCAGCAGCCTCAGATTCCACATTCAATGTTTTAACTACTTCTGAACTTCCCAAAATTCTTTTCCCCTCTTTTAAAACACATCTTGTGTAGCTTTCAAGCAGGGAATCAAAATGTTTTGAAGCCAGATTATAGAACTTCTCCTGAACAGGACTGGCTTTTTGCTCCTTCTAGAACTAAGCACCCACAACAAAACCACTGGAAATCCTACCTTTAGAGACAACTGCATCTCTCTACCGCCACACCCTCCCAATGTTTCACTCTCCAGTGTTTTAGGAGTGCTCTTTTCACAGACAAATGCATCGGTGACTACTTGGCCCTCAGCCTACATTCAGGCTTTTCCACAGCTTTTATTTTGTTACAGCTCATCTCTCTGAATCCATTTCCAGGAGTCCCTTTCTTAATCATTCCCCAGCAATGGGCCTACAGGCCCCTAAACAGAATTCCACTGTACCCCAACTATAAAACATGTTTTCTTTTGCCACTAACAGTTGGTAACATTTCACAAAAGTAAATAACAAACTGAGGATTTTTAGTGTTTCCTGAACAATAACTGGGTTCTGTCTGAGTATTCTGACGAAGAACTCTTGGATTATCTCCAAAGTATGATTACAGTAGACTGGATTTTGGACCCATATTTGTGCTCTTTACAATTGAATATAGCCCATCTGAACAGAAGCAGCAATATTTATTTACTACTAAGCATAGACATATGCCTATTCTTTAAATAGGCATGTAACTGTTCAAGAGGCACGTTACTGTGGAAACTGCATTTGCAGAACCATGGAATATGAAAGACGTATGCCATCAAAACACACACCACCTGTTTATTTTTCTCTAGTGGTACTGTAAACAACTAATAAATCTTCGTCAGTCAAAAAGAAATGCTGTTGTGACAGTCCATTACGTTAGTTCTCATACCATCAACAGATTATAACCTTCAGCTAGCTCAACGAACAAAATTTTTATATAAAACTGTTGATTGTATAAAAATAGCTGTGCACATTTTAAAGAAGCTTCTCATATTAAAACAAGCAAACTGAAAACACAAAACACTTGGCCTTCTGTGGTAAGGTCACGCTAGCTCACTTGCAGTAGTTTACTCTGATTAAAGCTTTTTACCTCGTCATCAGATGTTAAGTGTTGAACTGAAGTTTCATTTGGGCTTTGGGATAACTTTATTTCCGGCTGTACATCTGGAGGGACAGAAGAGTCCCAGAAGTTGCACTCACATGCCTGCTTTGTCCAGTCAAGTGCATCCCAAACTATTAACTCACCCACATGAGAACCTGTCACAAAAGTCAAGTCTAGAGGGGAAAAAAAACCACACATAGAAGTCACATGATATTAAAAAAAAAATCCATTTCACACAAAGTTACAAACCTAGAAAGTTAAGAGAGCCCATTTTCGAGTGAATCTATGTAGAACATGCAGTACGTAACTGACTGGACAAAAGCCTCTCCCTTTGAGTAAATACTCATTTCATTACCTAGCATAGCTCAGATGAGCAAAAGGAGATGAGCACTCTCTCTTGTAAAATTAAAACTAGGAAAGAGAACATTCACCAGCCACAGTGCACAGTACAGTATAGCAAAGGCAAGGACCACCACCAGAAGTATGTACAAGTATTTGAAGTTCATCTGTTGCCTACATAAAAAACCCTTCTATTCCTTGGACAAGTAGGTGTATCAGCACCCCTCAGACACAGCAAAGTGTCTTTGACAAACAGAAATACTGATCACAAATTAAATGGATGAGTTAATGGCACGACTGAAGTAGCTGCTTATGAATTTGTTAATCACGCATGGAAAGGAACTGCTTCAACAATACTTAACACAGATAGCATGTTGTCTTTTTAAGCCCAATATTGCTTCCCCTTCATAATCAAAAAGGAGAAAATAAGGGCAACAGGAAACCCCAGAAACAACTACCACAGAATCCAACTTTTCTTCTTTCCACCTTCTTGTTAACTCTGTACCACAGCCCCTTTGTGCCAGCCAGGCTGACACAAATAAGCCCAAGGACAAATATACACTCTCTATCACACCAGGAATAACTTGCCCTGGGCTCTAGGAGCGCTCCATAAAAAAGACAGGGAAGAACAAAGTAGAAGGGGTTGAAACCTGTAGTAGAGTAGACAGAATTTCAGGTAATAGCTCAGTATTGCCCTAATGAGCAGCAAAGATTGCATCATCTTCCACAGCCTCTAAATAATGGATCTGTATGCAGGCCCACATCCACACACCCAAAACTTCCAGTTACCTTGGGACTACAACTGCAAAGGATGTGGCATTTTATATTCCATTTTAAGATCAGAAGGAACAAGAAGAAATAGCATTTTAAACTTTCCTAACAGGAAGAAGACCCGAAGTTCCATTTCCATCAATGACATTGCCTCTTTTGTGCCTTTTCTACATTGTAACCTACCTGGTTTCATTTCACTGTTAGTCCATAAATAAAGCCATTATGTTTTCATATTTCACTACCTTTGCAGCTACACAGGAAGATACATCTACTAGTTATGAAGTTTCACTCCAGTTAAAAGTTTGGTCCCAATAAAAACTCCATAGTTGAAATATCCCACTGGTAACAAACAAAACTAGTAACATTATAAAATGACTCTTACCATTGACACTGACTAATGACAAAATGTTATCCTGATGGTCAACAAGGCGTTTTACTTCAAGGACATTCCAACCTTCAGACCCATCATTAGAAGCAATCAACCTAAAAATTACTTCAAAGATAGAGAGAGAAATTGTCTAAACAAGCTTTATGATTCAGAACAAAATGTAGCTATGCTTAAATAAAACATCATTTTCAGAAAGGCACAAACTAAAACATACTATAAGTAAGACAGTACAAGATGTGCAAAGCCACTTACGACCACTCATAACACCAAAAAAAATGGGAATAAATTATTTCAGTGTTGTTATAAGGCCTCTTACTATAGCAACTATCGGATAAAACATTTCAGCCTAGTAACTCTGAAATTCAGAGAATCAGTCAACATCAGAAGTTGCAGAAAACAGAAGTGAAAAGTACTAGACATCTTCAGGAATAACTAAAGTAAAAGCGAAACACCTTTCTTAAGGGCTCATCTGACTGAAAACTATTATTCAAAAGGATACAATATTCTCAGTAAGTTCAGTAAGGCAATCAAGTTCTCCAGGAATTAAGACTTTATTTTAACAGTCTTGGAATTTCTTTTATGATATCTCAAGATATCAAAAGAACTGTGGGAAGTTCACATGGAAGTTTACATTGTATACCAATGTCTAAACACAAGACAACTATTTTTAATTTGCTCCTGATTCTTTGATCAGAATATCAAATTGCTATTTTTCAGCTAAGTGTTTAATCATATTGAGCAAAGTCTGTTGTTTTGCTGATTCAGTGCTCTACGTTTTCTCCTAGGTTTTTTTCCATATTTTGAAATTTTAGTAATTTTATAAAACACTCTTATTTAAGACTCTCCACTGACAGCTAGCTGATGGTTTACAGTTTGCATACATAGAAAACCCTGTCTCCAAGTGAGCAACAGAAACTATCACATTGTCTCGTTATAACTTTGGACAGTATAATGAGATCAGCAATAACTCATACTCCTGATCTTGGGATAAGGAGACTGTAGAAAAGACTAGTATCTGACAGCTCAGATAATGAGTTCCAGACCTTCTCCAGAAGGACAAATGTAGATCGCCACAATCAGATCTGGACAGGTGGCAATAACAGTAATAACAATAACAAAGAATATAGAAAAGTTTTGTCATGCAGATCTCAATAAAATTCCTGAATAGGATTAGTATTGTCTGCCTCTGTGAAATAAGGGAAACAGGAAGAAGGTTGCTAGTCACACCTTAATACCATTTACTTTTCCTATACAATTCCAGCAGCATGCTCTTTACACATATCTCTGATAAGCAACTGTTATAAAGGAACATGAACATTTAACAGAAATGCAACATACTCACCTAGCTCTTTGCCAACAGTGGCTGCAACGCAATTTTTAGGCAATTCAACCAAAGCGCTGATACCTTTGAAAAAATACAGGAGATAAGGGAGATATTCATTGGCCACAAGAAAACACAGCAAACTGTTAATTCCTTACTAATAAAGTTCTTCATAATCTTCCTTCCACTTATAAGTTATTATCAAAATAAAAGCATATTGCCTGAAGTGAAAGTTAAACAGCATTGGAAGTGAACAGGTTACCTCAGATGGAGGTAGAGTCAGGAGTTTTGGTCCCGAATCCAGCAGAATTCTGAACATCAAACATGAGGTGAAGCTGAGAATCAATAATCTTTTTACTTTAAATACAGTTAAGATGTTTATGTCCTAATGCTGGACAATATTAAGGACACTGTAGTAATTATAGAGACTCTAAACATATGCAGTGCCAAAATTATTAGATACTGATACTACCACAGTATGCATGATACTGAAGTATCATGCAGAGCCAGCTGAAGAATAGGGCACAAGATAAAATGTCCAGCTTGCTGTTACTCTGCCTTCATCCTGCACACAATTCAACCAGTCCATGCTGCCACACCACTAAAGGAAAATTCCCCAAGGAAAAAGCAATCTGTCTCTTTCTCCACAAAGGAAGCAAGAGATTAGGAGAGAAGAGAGGGCCCATGCTGCACACACCATTGACACCTTGTACGAAAGTTTCAATAGCACCGCATGCTAAGCACTACAGCACCACTTCCAACTGGTATTTGGCATGATATTTCGTATTGAACCAGAAGAAGTATTAATATCCTCAAAGATTCAGAAGGTTTTGCCTACCACTACTCCTTCTATAACAAAAGTAAGGAGACCTTATAGCAGCCTTCCAGTACTTGAAAGGGGCCTACAAGAAAGCTGGAGAGGAACTTTTTACAAGGGCATGTAGTGATAGGACAAGGGCTAGCAGCTTTAAACTGAAAAAGGGTAGATTTAGACTAGATATTAGGAAGAAATTCTTCACTATGAGGGTGGTGAAACACTGGAACAGGCTGCCCAGAGAAGTTGTGGATGCCCCATCCCCGGAAGTGTTCAAGGCCAAGTTGGATGGGGCTCTGAGCAACCTGGTCTAGTAGAAGGTGTCCCGGCCCATGGCAGGAGGGTTAGAACTAAGTGATCTTTAAGGTCCCCCCCAGCACAAACCATTCTAGGACTCCATGAAAATATTGGTTCCAACTTAGAATTTGATCCACAGCTTCATAGGTATCTTTGTAAAGTATGGCAATAATATGCAACAATTTCCTTCGCATGGACAGATTATATAAGCTTATAAATAGAAAAGCATATAAATAGAAAAGCATGACTGACATTGAGACCTGATTATATTTACTGTATTTCTATCAAAACCTTCATTTTCTACATCAAAAGTACTGATTCTTAATAATAAGAAGAAACCTTTACTGCTTTACTACTACAAAGCTTTACTTAGGGAAGTGATCGTGCCCCTGTACTCAGCACTGGTGAAGCCGCACCTCGAATACTGTGTTCAGTTTTGGGCCCCTCACTACAAGAAGGACGTTGAGATGTTGGAACGTGTCCAGAGAAGGGCAACGAGGCTGGTGAGGGGTCTGGAGAGCAAGTCTTATGAGGAGCGGCTGAGGGAGCTGGGGTTGTTTAGCCTGGAGAAAAGGAGGCTGAGGGGAGACCTCATCGCTCTCTACAACTACCTGAAAGGAGGCTGTAGCGAGGTGGGTGTCGGTCTCTTCTCCCAAGTAACTGGCGAAAGGACAAGAGGAAATGGCCTCAAGTTGCGCCAGGGGAGGTTTAGATTGGATGTGAGGAAAAAATGTCTTTACTGAAAGAGTAGTTAAACATTGGAACAGGCTGCCCAGGAAGTAGTTGAGTCACCATCCCTGGAAGTATTTAAAAGACGGGTAGATGAGGCGCTTAGGGACATGGTTTAGTGGGCATGGTGGTGTTGGGTTGACGGTTGGACTCGATGATCTTGGAGGTCTCTTCCAACCTTAATGATTCTATGATTAGGAATAATAAAACTCCCACTCATTCACAGAGAAAGCCAGCCAAAGGATCTGGTCCACATTACAGCAAACATGTATAAATCAGCATCTTGAGGTCTAGCCCTGTAAGTCCAAGCTAATGTACAGTTACTAAGATTTGACATATTCATAAATTCACACAGCACAGGAGATTAAAAGCAGTCTTAATTCTGAAACAATTAAGTCTGACATTTAAAAAAATAGAGACTGGCTCTAATATGTAATGTTATCATTAGAATTAAAAAGAATTTGCCAAGGTGGTTTTGCACCATTATACAGATCCATTTTACTTGCACTTTAACAGCTATAATGAGTCATTTACATTTTTACCTGCATCAGTAAGATGACTGGTCTTACACAAGAGATCTAATTTTCGGTTCCAAACACATAGATCACTCCCTCCGGACAACCATACATCCAGTCTTTGAAGAACTGTCAAACACTGCAGAACAAAAATCAGATATATGTCCCCTGCAAAAGTTCTACAGAGAATTTCTCAGTGAAATGATCACAAGCTTTAGTTAGATAAAACTATAAGTACCATGCAATACAGTATTAAGGTGTCACTTTCCTGAGAAATACAGATTTAATTACATAGTATATGTTACATTTTTCCATCAACAATGCAAAAACTGGTTTTTCAGTGTTTTTTTTCTACTATTAACATTCAAGGACTAATTTGACTGTAGGTTGCCTTTTCCAACACAGTAACAAAACCAAGCCATAAAATTACCTTTGTCCTGCATCCTTTCAAAAAGAAAATTGAGGTATTAAGAGTTCCAAAAACAAATTAAGAATTGTGCCCACTTCTCAGCCACTCATTAGGTACCTGTTCTTAAACCAAACACTGCTGTTCATTTTAACACACCTGCCCATATGGCCCATGAGCCATACATAATAGATTCTTGTACACAACAAAACAACAGACATACCTAGGGTTTCCTCAGCTTACCTTTACAGTAGAATGGAAGCATGACACTTTCTGAACCTGCCTGCCACTAGTGCAGTCCCAAACCTGACTTTATTCATTAAGGAAACTGAAAGGTTTTTATATATTATAACTGCTGTGTTTGTAACTAAATGACAGATTGGGAAATAGGTATGCAGAGACTCAGTCTTCTAAACTCTGACTGTCTTTTCAATATTTGGCCAAAATGACATATTAATAAAGGTCTGTTATGGATTCATTTTTGTAGCAAGGATTGCATCTACTTTTGAGCAATAACTAGTAAAATCCTAGTGTAATCCGATTATACCTACTGGATATTATCAGTCAATAAATTGCAGCCTGTCTCAATGCTACCTTTAAAAGTAAAAACCAAGAAAAAACCCATAGAAATTTTAATCCTCTCTAGATCTAAGGATACAATAACTGTTCTATCAGCTGATGCTGTTAAAATCAAATGTTTTTTTTCTTCAGAGGCATCTGACGAAGAAAATGGTGCTATAGCTGTAATTTTGTGTGTGTGTCCATGAAGTTCAAAAAGTTTTTCCCCGGTCTGAAAAATAAAAACATGGAAAACTAAGGGTAAAATTTGGAAAATGCTTACTGTAGCATATGACATAGGTACCAAATGACTTTTGAAAGCAAGAATGTCTAAGAGTCTAAAGTATCCCTTTCTAAAGTAATTTATGGATTTACTTCTTACTACTTTCAGTACTGTTCAAGATCTTACCCAGAATTAAATAACATATTAAGTATAAGTGTAAGGGAGTAGTACATAATAAAAATTACTCTGAGAAAAAAAAAACTCTAAAAGCCCTTAAGAACTGAGTTCTGTATTAAACTCATTTCATTTTAATGCAAATATTGGCCATTCACCCTCTTTAACGGATATTACAGTAATTCAGATTTGTTGACAAACCTTCTCTTGAAAAAGTAATTTTTTTATTTTAATGGTTAGAAAAACTTCACCTATATTTATGGCAAACACAGTACTGCCAAATTCCTGACAGCTTTATTTAGTATGTACATTATCTATAGCTTCAAGCCAGTGGTTTAGATAACTGCAGCTATTTCTGCTCTGTTTAGTCAAATGGCAAAACCCTACAAACAAACATGCAGAAGCATGCTGGCGTTTTAAACATGCAATTAAAATACACGGTAGTTATAACTGTAAACTTCTTTACACTTGTGAGTTAAGTTTTTAAATTAAAACTACAAAAGGTTTGCTTTAACAAAAATCCTACAGAAGTAGAAAATGGAACTCAGTTGCTAAGCTGGATATCTAGATGAGTTTTACATTCACAAACTGCTCAGAACAATGAGTATATAAACTCACATACATGGTTTTGAATATTTAAAAACAATTTCCTTTTCCAAACTATAGAATTATAAGAGACTTTCAACAACAGCAAAGCACTAACTGAAACTGCTCAAAAGAGAGCTAAAGTTTCAAGTTCTCCCTTCCGCATTTTAAAATTACACCATCATAAATGTCCCACAAATTTTTTCAGAAGGTTTCTAAAAAAGTTTACAGTCTAAGATTTCGTTCTTCCTTTAAGTTAAATGTTTGATACTCACAGTTTAGACAGCACAGTATGTCTCCCATTTAGACTTCCTATTGAACAATCTAACTTGTATACTAGCCCTCTTTAACCAGGTCTAATGCTCATCCCGTCTCTATAATTTTGTCAGTGATACGGAGACACAGAGCAGAAGAGCAGAACAGTGGGTATCACACTTACAGAGCACTATTTCCATGACAAATCTAATGTCTTAGTAAGGTTTTCAAAAGTTATAAGAAGATTTTTATCACAACAAGCAATTAAGGCCTTGTTTCTGCACTGCATGCTTAACTTCCACTGACTTTTGTGTCTTTCCAATACACAGTTTTGTGTTAGCTCTCCATTTAGTCTAATCAGTTATACTACAAATAGATATTGCTAATAGAGCCACTGAAGTGCACTTAAAACTTAAGTATATATCTGAATCTTGGCAGGATTGGGACCTTGCTGTGTATTTGTTGAGTTACTAGTCAACATTTCAGTGTTTACAGCAAACACCGAATGTATTTTAAAAGAAGAATTAAAGCCACAAGTTCATACACACTTCTGCTTTTCACATCATCATTTCATCTCAAATCTCTCTAAAAACATTTGTCTTCCCAAAACATTCTAACTTTTAAAAATTATTCTCTTGGGTTCACCCAACTTTTACTTTCCTAGCTGTCCTTTGTAAACTAAGATTTGACAGACTCCCTCCGCTTTTACATTTTCGAACAGTAGCTCTGCAGCAATTCTTATTCATTCTGCTTCTTTGCTACTAGACATTTCTAAGTCCTCTCCCCAACTTCTACCCTCCCCACCGCACACAAGCTACCCCCCAAAAAAAAAAACCCTAACCTGAGCATTCCACAGAAATATGATTCCATCATCTCCTGCAGATGCAAACCTGAAATGGGGAAAAAAAAAGAAAAAAAAAAGTTGTGAAAACTTCAATATAGCATGATGTAATGGAAAAGCAGTAAACAGTTATGTAAGAAAAATATTTACAAGATATATCAGATTCTCACTGTAGAGAATAAACACGTATTCATAAATCCCAATTACAGTTTATAAACTGAAATCAGTACATTTAAATAGGTGTTAACATATACTTAATATAAGAACAAGGCTTAAGAATTCCAATACATACTATTATAAATAGAATCCCGCATTACAGAACCAATTCTCTTGTTTAAAAATATGAGATCTTACACACCAAATAACAGCGATCTCTGAAACCAAATACTGTTAGTCAGAGCCAACTGACTGCAAGATATCTAACAACTTACAAACCACTCAGCTGAGATCAGCCCAGGAGTAGAGGAGCCCAGTATTTATCATGACACTTTAAACTGTGGCTTAAAAGAACTCCCAAAGGGAGTGCATTTAAGGTGCTAAATTTGTCTTCTGCTAAAAATCCAGCTGCAAGGCATACCATATGAGGAAAAAACAGGTTCATATTAGCATCTTAATCTCACATTAACAAAGTCTGACCTAAATTCAATCTTTTCCCTAGGCTAGAGTGAATATCTAACCATCTGCCTACATTTGCACCTTATCACCACCACAGCTACACTGTAGCTGGAGCACACATCCCAGCTATCCCAGTAAAGGCGTACGATGAGTTGAGAAAGCCTAGAACAGAAACAAGACCTTCCATAGAAAATTGATTTCAGTTGTTACTTGCAAATATACCTTTCTATTTTTTTTCCTTTTGTTTTAAGCCTTCACCAAGTGTTAAACAGTTAATATTTAGAGAACTAAGATTTGTACTATGTGCAAGAAAGTCATGAAGAAGAGAGGTTATATCACTTCTGATTTTTTTCTGTTACCAGCTGTGAATGGTTTCATTAACTATATACACATCCTTTCTTTTAGACTCTTTATAATTACAATGTTTGTGAAACTTGCTAACAGACTAAGTTTTCAGGCATAAAGCTATAGGGTTTTTCTCCCCCTTTCTTCCACATATCCTCTTTATTCTATTATAGTAAAAAAAAGTGTAAGGTGTACTTTCTTCATATCTTTCATTATTTGATATCAAATCAAGCCCTTCTTTAAAAAGATTTGAGCAAAAAATCTTCCATGCACACCTCTGATAACATTAATTTCTTATCTTTACTTGCCTTTTGGCTCTATTATACCTCGTTTTGTCACAACATCAAGAACTTAAAACAGTAAAACTCTCACAATTCAGCAATAACCCTTTAAATTCCAATTCCTTTCTTGAGTAATATTGAAGCTGTGTGCCACTTGAACAAAATTCTGGGAAGAAAACTGGTGTTTTAAAGAAGGCATGAGTGTAATTCATCAACATAGAAGTTCCATAGAGTGCTGTTTTGTGTATCTTCCTCCTCATCTTCTAACCAGGATTCCTGTTTAAATATAAAGGTATACTGTAGAGTCAGTTATCCTACAGTTACATTCTGTTCACCAAGGTGGAGATTCATGGGTCACCTGATTCTTTTCCAGTCATGATCACCATCATCTATAACCTTGTCTGTTTCCTGAAGGAGCAAGGAATGGTCAAATGAGCAACAAAAAAAGCTATTCTTAAAATGTGTTATGAACTCTGTTTAGTTTAATGTGTCAAATGCTAGAGTATTACATGCAATTTTATCTCAGTCCATTTTTTGGAAGACTCTTGCTGAGGCTTAGCCTTCTTTTGTGATCTTCCAATCAATATGACCCTTACTTCATGTTCAAAAAGTACAAGAGAAAAGAAGGAAAAAAAACCAGCTTTCTGTTACATTTATACAGGATTTATTTAGTATCTTCAAAAACCAATCTGAGAAAATTTTCCACTCACTGGTTTTAGCTGAGCCACTGAGAAAACAAGAAAATCCTTCTTCAAAATTCTCAATAAGATGATATTATCTAAAGACCTGAAGCGTGAAACTTGGCTTACAATAGTTGACAAAAAGCACACAATGGAATAGCTGCAGAAACTAAATAAAAACATTTCAGAAGCTGAGTAACAATACTAATTTTACTGAAAAGAATCAAGTGAAAAATATTATCAGCTGTTTAACAATCCAGAAACTACCATATTCTTCATAAATAAGACCTTAGAATTACTGTCCAGTGAAGCGACTCTATTATACTCCTCAAACTCTCAGAATATTAACCAGCTATATAACTTACTCCTTATCCATATGCTATTTTATAACCTATCTTCAATGCAGCCATCCAGGCTTTAGTTTTACACTGATTATCATTAGTTTAGCTTCAATAATTGACCTGCTACCATACAATGAAGCCCAAAATGGTAAAAGATTTATTTGCATCAGACAGTGTGTGCAATCTAAGAATACTCTGGTATTTCTATAAAGACCAATTACATTTATTGAGTATGTGTTTTGGGAAAAACGTACTTTGAGGAAAGGTTATTTTAATAACTTGTCTGGGGGAAAAAAGGTCTGGAAAAAAACCCACAAGATTCTTCTATTTTTATATGAATCTTCTGGTAGATTACTATAATGTAGAAAAATAAATTTTATGGTAATGCATGTAACTTTCTTGATATATATTTATGACATTAAGAATGAAAAGTGACAATCTGAAAGTTCTCCATGGAGTCTTCTGTGAAATATTTTATATATTTATATATATATATATGTATGTATGTATTTACAAAATTTTTAGAAAATAAGAACATTTAGGCATTCCAAATTTGGAAGAGACCACCTGCCCGATCAATGTGCATGGGGAAGGAGAGAAGTTTCCTTCACAAAACACCTGCTGTACACTGCAAGGGTATAAACCAAACTCTTAGCCATGTTAACTTTGTGTAGTGTATTGATGAATGTATTAGAAATCTCCTTCTGTGCCTAATCCATAAAAGATATAAATTACTACAGCTCCTTAACAGAGACTCTTGCCTATTACTTACGTTCTTAGTTCTAAAGGTTTTCTATTTAATTCTCCACATCAGCCAAGAGTCACTACAGTTATTATTGACTAAAGGCTTCACAACGTTACTTTCAAGGCAGATAAATATTTCCTCTCCTGCAGGATTAAGCTACATTAGAGAACATGCAAGGCCAATTTAGACAAAGCTAGGATAGAAGCCAGGTCATAACATAAAACTATCATAATTCATTCTCTCAGTCACACTTCCGAAGTGACAATGGTAAATGTAATTACTTCATCTCTGCCTCATTTTTCCAGCTTTTAGATAACTCCATCCTCAGAGTTCACAATAAAGTTGGACCTAGCTACAAGAAACTAAGAACAGAACAGATGAAGATTGTCAGGGAATATACAAAAAAATGCACAAAGCTAAAAATTTGAAGAGAGAAACAAAGGAACTGTCAGGTTTCAAAGAAGTACAGCAAGTTGAACAAGATCAAATTGGAGGAGATATGTAATGCAGATATTAGGCATATGTTGAATTTTACTAAGTAGGCACTCTGAATAAAGTGGTGAAAATTTCAAAACTTGAGAATTTCAGAAAAAAGTTGCGTTAACCAAAGCTCAAGTGAATTAAGCACTCCAGTTTCAGAAGAAAGTGTAACAAAAGATTGGAAAGAAAGGAATATCAGCATTCAATACTGTTGAGAATGTCATGTTCAATTGCTACAGTGTATCTGTAGAAGCCTATTACATACTTTTGTAGAACCAAAAGGTGAAATAACAGCTGTCCTCAGCTCTAAGACATAAAACACATGCATCCACTCAGAACAGAAGCAGACACTACTGCATATTGTCCTGGGAGAAAGTGTGTGTATGCATGTATAGAAGGGAACGTTCAACACAGGAACAGCCTGAAAAAGAAGGGCTGAATTAACTAAAGGCATTTCTTTCAAACAAAGGAATTTGTACCAAGAAACAGAACTCCAACACCATTATTTTCTCGTGAAAGTTTAACTTACAAAGAGAAGCCAAAAGATACCAAGAAAAGGGAGCATTCACCTCTTGCCTCTTTTAACTCCGGGCTTTTCCTGCCCTCCCCCACCAAAAATAAAAAGAGGATTAAAAAGGTTACATTTTCATAAATATTCCCTGAAGTATTACCAAGGATGCTGTGAAACAATTTGAAATGCAATTTCATACCTGCAATCATCTATTTGCACTAGAAATCGTACTATATCTTGATGACCTTTCAACACAAGGAGCTCCGTGTAAGGATTCTGTATTTGTTCTTCACCAATTGTCTGTACAGATGATTTCTAAAATTCATAAAAAAGGAATGAAATTTATTTTGTACTGACATAATTAGTTTCATCAGGTCTTTGTAATGTCTGGCAATCTACATATAGACCCATGTGTGAATGTATAGTTACATATAGCTACATGTGAAGTTAAATTAAGTTTCTGAAATATCATTTTGCCTTAATGAAAATCATTACTAAAGATCATTTCCTATTATTTCAAGTAAATAATATCTTTCTGTAGCATGTATTTTAAATTATAATATAGCATTTTCTGTTTAACAAAAACATTTTGTACTGCTTTAATCACTGATACACCAAGATGAAAACCCACTTTAGTCATGAGCTGTCATGTGGAGCCAGCTTCGTGACTCAATTCACCATACATTCAGTTTTTCATTAAATTACACCTCTTCCGAGAGGTCTGTGAACCTCTCATATCTTTTACCTACCATTCAATTTTAAAATCCTATATAAAGACGACATATTTAAAATAAATAAGAATAAACGCTGTTCCGTTACATAATATATAAATCATCCATTGGGACTCTATTCACAAAATACAAAGCAAACCACTTAAAAAAACATAAAGAATGATCAATCATTTTATAGAACAGCATCTGCAAGTACCCCCAACTAGGCTATTAATTAAAAGAACAATCAATCGCTCAGAGCAAGCTGATCACCAGGCAGGGTCAATAAAATATTGCATAGGACTGCAGTTTCAAGGCACAATAGTTCTGCTAACCTCAATCATCAGTTTGTTTCAACAGAAGACAACTTTTTTTGTATTTAAGGTCTTCCACATTCTGGAGCAACTTGCTATTAGACATTATTTAAAAAAAAATTAAAAAATCTAAATAGCTCAGTAGTAACTCAGTGACAGCAGTCTCCTCCTTCTAGATTTATTTTACATGACAGTCAACACCATCTTACTTCCAGGACTGTCTCTTCTTTGAGGACTTCAACAGAACCTACACTGTAAAACAGTAATTACTGAACACTGTACAACATGCAGCATACATGACAGGTAACCCTGCATGAAAGCCAAACATATTATCCTCAGAAACATCAACATTTCTTGCAGGAATAACAAATTATTTTCCATTACTTCCATATTGGTACTATGATACTATTCTTCAGAAGTTAAGAATGACAAAGTTAATAAACAGGAAAAGAAATCTGTGTTTATTTTTAAAATGAAGAGGTTGTCAAAATGCTAGTTCTTGTGATTTTATCTTGGTTTGGTGCTATCCGATGCATTTCATGAAGCAACTGTTCCTCATTTTATGCAATTATGTGAGAATAGCAGTTCCCATTTAAAATAATGCAAGTAGAGTCTGCATGGTTATAAAAAAGAGTTGGACAAATTATGGAAACTTGGAGTTCAGCTGTCAAAAGCTAATCAAAACATTCCTTAAAAAAAAATTTTGAGAGTTCTAAAAATCCTAAGCAAATCTCAGCATCACTGGATGACATTAGCAATACTGTAGTCAGGAAGACTTCCATTCTTTTTACTAATAGAAACATACCTTCACAAAACAATTGTAACACCGCCTTGAAAAAGTCAGAATTTGTAACGCTAACATCCCAATTCTATATTCTGTTGTTGCTTCCTATTCAATACAGGACAGTGCTACTTCTTTTGAACAATGTGTCTCATTTTTTCTTAATTCTAAGAATGCCTGTGAATATTGAAAGGTACAGTGCTGATGAAGTACTATAGATAACAACAAAATAACAGTTTTTCCCCCAGTACTGTCATACAACAAGCTATGCTCTCTTCAGATCTTCATTAATATTTACCGAAGTGCTCAGCTACATGTGCATTCTTTCTCTGAAGAAATCTATTTTTTATATAAACTATTAATTGAACTCTCTTGTAGCAACACCAAGTTTTTAGAAGAAAAAGCTAGATGCTGATGCTAATGGAATCCATTCCCAACTTGCATGTTTTTAATGCAGGACCTGTAAGCATCACTACGATGAGTAAAAAAAAGACATTTATCTCAGCTTCAGAACTTCCTATAAACCCATGATCTGAAGCATTTGAAAATGGGATTTTCAAAAGCAATTCACCAAAAATACGGATACAAGAGTACACAGACATACCTATGTATGTATCATGGAGCATGATAAATTAGCTTATATGGACCTTGATACTACTGCAGTTAGACTGCTCCCATTACCAAAGCCACCCTGCTTAAGATGTACACCATGGCAATCAACTGAAGAAACTCAGCAGCTTAAGTCTAAATGATTTTCAATTCCACAGTAAAAAAAGAAAGGGGTAAGGAGAAATTTACATTTCATTAATTTAGGACAGCTTTGCCAGAGGCTTTCTCTATTCACCCAGTGCCCTGTCACTCTAATACATCTGGCCTTTTCATGATGGACTGAAGCCATAGCACATGAAACAAACACCCTAAGTCCATAGCCCACACACTGCTACGGGCTTCCTTATCTATTTAAGAAGAGTACAGAGAGAATTAATAGTTATGAAGATGATCTTTAGATGAAACAATATTACATAATGCAGGAAAAAAGAACAAAAAGTTTAGGGACTAACCCATATCAGTACTTGTTATTCAGTTTTTCCATAGAGAAGCAAAACGATCACCATCATTCAGCAAACCAGTGGTAGCAATGGGAACAGAAGTCCTGTGGATCGGGCTTAACCAAGCTACGAATGGCAGAATGGAAGAACTGGACCACACCTTGACTCATGCTCATGCTTTATTAAATCACAGTATAACTAAACCATAGACAGAGTTTAAACTTTGGAGAGGGACACACACCAACATAGTTTTCTAACACATCTCAGCAAGCTGTTGCATATTTCCCATCTTCCTTTTAGAAACAGCTGCACACAAACCTGCTAAATATGACTGCAATACAACCAAATTTTGACTGATGACAAAGGTCAGAAGCATTCCCAGACATCGTCATTCCAAATTGGTACATACTCAAATATCCACCAAAGTAACTACTGGCATTTGAAATCAACCATGATACTGTCATGGCTTGGTCACATATAGCAGCTGAAAAGACTTACTTCCTCATATTTGTCTAGATTACAAAAGCACTAAGTGTTCGGAGCCCAGAATTAACTCTTGTTAAGTCCAGGCTGAGAACTTCAGCAGTCTTGGGAACAAGAAAATCCCAATAATCTCTCCCTCAAATCCAATAAAACTCTTTTCCTGAGTAAGGCAACAGGAAGGATGTCAGTGTTCAGTGCACTACATAGGCCTAGTCTATTTTACGGATGAGAAACTGAGAAGAAATGCTAGAATACTACTACAAACTACAGCTAGGCCACGTAACTAGTAAGTTACTGCCTATAATTTACATTATCGACCGGGGAGTCCCGAAGGCAAGACTCCATATGCTTGCAAACTATACAATATAGCCCCCACTTGCCCAGGACGCACAGACCAGGAAGGAGGAAGCCGGGACGCTCCTGACAGGGACGGCTCCCAAACACTTCAGCTCCTGGGCAAGCTCAGCTTGAGCGTTTTGCTGTTTGCTTTTGTGTTTTTGCCCCTCCCCTCTTTCTCTTCAACGAAGCTTGTAACCCCTTCTAACAGCCAGAAAGTCTCACAGGCTGCGAGCTAGCCCTGAAGGCCCCTTGCTCCGGAGAGTCCGGCGCGGGGCCCAGCCGCGCTACCACGGGAGAGCAGACCCACCCCGATGGAAAGGCCTCCGCCCAGCGCCCCCCTTGCTCACAGCGCTCCCCTCCCAGACCTAAAGCTCCTCACGGCCCTCCACCGGCGCC